TTTTTGTATTTTTAGTAGAGACGGGGTTTCGCCATGTTGGCCAGGATGATCTAGATCTCTTGACCTCGTGATCTGCCCGCCTCAGCCTCCCAAAGTGCTGGGATTACAGGTTTGAGCCACCATGCCTGGCCTGTCGTGGTTAATTTTATATGCCAACTTGACTGGGCCACAGACTGTACAGATATTTGGTCAAACATTTTTCTGGGCATCTCTGTGAGGGTGTTTTTGAATGAGATTACCATTTACAGGGATAGACTGAATAATTAGATTGCCTTTCCTAACATAGGTAGTCCTCATCCAATCAGTGGAAAGCCTGAAAAGATGAAAATACTTACCTTGGTCCCCAGTTTGCTGAGTCACCAGACAAATCTTGGGATATGCCATAAATGCATTAGCCAATTCCTTATCACCTCTCTCACTCTCTCTTGTTTTTCTATCCCTCTCTCTCTCTCTCTACACACACACACACACACACACACACACACACACACACACACAATTGGCTCTATTTTTCTGGGGAACCCTGATTAATACACCCACTATAGCTAGAGTGATCTCCCTGAAAAAAATCTAATAATTCTACTTTCCCACTTGAAATTTTTTATTGAGTTCCCTTTTCCTTGCAATAAACCTCAGGCCCCTTAACGTGATTTCCTTCCTGATTTGCCCCCTGCTTTCCTCTCTCTCTTACTTCTTTAAAAATCTCCCTCATTTGCTACACTCTATCCATATAATAATGTTTATATTTCCTGGAATGCTCTTTATCACCTCTCTGGGCCACCTCTCATACTGTTCCAGTTTCTTAGTCATATTCTCATGCTCTTTCCTTCATCTCATTTCTGTTCATGTTTTAGGTCTCAGCTTGCATATAATGTTTCCTAGGAATCTCTTGAAATCCCGTAAGTCTAGTTAAGGTTTCCCAGCTACTTTCCCCATGATAATACTTGCTCTATATACCATAATTGCCTATTTCCCTACTTGACTTTTGTATTGGCATTGAATCTCTGAAGGCAGGAATGTGTCTATCATTTTAAATCTGGAATCAGCTTCTGTCACAGTACCTGGCATAGCCTGGGCTCTTCTTGTTAATTAAATGAATGGAAGCAGTTCATGAGATTTTAACGTTTCCTTTATTAGCTGTATTAAATCATTGAGGTTGCAAATAAATTATTTTTTCTTGATGAATTTGATAACTCTTTTGACAGAAGTCTTGCTGATGGCACTGCTCACAATATTAGATCAATATAATTGAAAAAATTAACCCCCCACCCCCCATCTAGTGGACAGATTATTTAGACACAGTGATACAATGCATGCTGCCTTACCAATGATGCCTTTCCTGTAACTATGGTTTACACCAGTGATGCTCAACTGGGGAAAATTTTGCCCCCCAGAGGACATTTGCCAATGTTTGGAGAATTTTTGATTGCTATGGCTGCGGGGTGGAGGTGGGGTGCTGCTATTCTCTAGTGAGTAGAAGCCAGGGATGCTGTTAATTATTCAACATTGAACAGTGCAGCTCCCACAACAGACTCGTCGGGTCCGAAATATCCATAAGCTGAGGTTGAGAAAACCTAGTTATATAAATTTGGAGAAAGTTTACAGAAGAGCAAGCTGTCCCATGTGATTGTCATGCTATGGTTACCTGATACCTGTGGTCTTCCCATATTACTGCATATTATCTGACCATAGAAAGAAAAACAAAGGAAGACGAACTAGGCAGCCAAATGATATGCTGTATTATTGCATGGGAGCTGTTTTGGTACTGTATTTTAACTCATTAACATTTAAAAATTGTTATGCGGCAGAAAAATAATTATGTCCTTTTAACTGTTGAAACAGAATCCATTTTTCCAAGCATACTTTTTTAAGGGCATATTGCTAAAACACCAACTGTTTTACAAGTACAGTAATCACATTGCTGTTGAGTTTATTGTGTTTTGTTAGGACACACTTTATAGTGTGGAAAATGCATTTTAAAGTAATTCTTCTGGGCATGGTTAAGGAAAAGAATAGAGGTATGCTTTATTGTAAGTGAACAATTAGCTGCATAGTGACCGCCTCTAGCAGATGAATGGTGCAGTCAGTGTAGGTGGTTTCTGGAAAGTTTGGCATCTGAGTCTTCCATTATCACTTGAAGAAATGAGGAAGACTAAGAAGGAAAATGGGAAATGGAGAAAACTTAAGGGGCTTTCGATACTTCAGTCCCTTTCAAGAGAATAATTTATTTTGTTCATGATCAGTAGTAGTTCTGTTTTGGCCTTTCATTTTTCACCTCCATCACCCTTCAAGGCACTGGTCCTTAATCTGTTTTTTATGGACCTACATGTCCACATATGGAATTTTGGACAGTTTCTGGATCACTGTAAATATATGCAAGTTTAGTGGATATGGAAATTCAAAAATTATTCTGATGTGAGCCTTTCATGCTTTATCAGATTTTCAAGGGGATCATGACTCCAAAACATTTAAGAGACAATTCTTTAGGAAATACACACATTCTGCTGCAAGTGGGAGCCGGAAGTTTCTGTGGCTTTAGGAGAAAGTGTATAATGTTTAAAAGGGAGCTTCTTAATCACCAGGCAATAACTTCCCTATTTATAGACTTGGCGTGAGATATCTGGAATCTTAGATTTGTTTTGCTCTTTTTATTCTATCTCTACACATGTGATCCTGGAGGGTCTCAATCTCTACACTAACAGGTGACTTCCAGGCCTCTGCTTCTCTGTTACCAAAGATGAGTTGTAACTCTCTTGATTCACCCAACTCTGCCTTCATTTAATTTTTCAGCCTTTAAAATACCTTGTTTAAATTAATATGTATTTTTCTTATGAGAGATTTAATGTAGTTTCGGATTAAATATAAGAACAATTTATACATAATAGAAATGTGCAGTGTAGCTTCATGTGTTCTTGCTACATGAGAGAATTCTTGTCTGGTCTTAATTAGATCAATGGCCTTGGGCTCATTCATATGCTCCTGAAAGGGTTAAAGCTGGCCTCTTTCCATCTCCATGTGGCCAGGTGCACTGCCATCTCTCCACATCATCAGCCTGTGTGTGGAACAGAGCGGGAGGGCCTAAGTGGCTCTCATAGTTTACTTTGGAAACATGCAAATTTGCTTTCTTCTGTGATATAATTGAGCAATAACCGGACATGTACTAATCCTCAAGTTCCCCTTATTTTGAAGTTGCCAGTTGTGTCTGACTATTCTAGTTCAGTTTGAAGAGTCACGTTCACTAGACTGCCTATTGAGGGGGTGGGGTAAGGCAGAGGGACTGCTGTGTTATTAATATAATATTTTTCTACCCTCGACACATCTGTGTTCTTGAGAGAAGATGATGTGATTTAAGTTTGTACAGTCACAATCAGTGAGGGCTTCTAGACTCATACATAGACAAACTCTGATCATCAGTAATAAAAGATGGCAAACTTATGTTAAAAAAACTGACTATGCATCCTAATGTAAGTTATATTCATTGTGAATTGGATGTACTTATTCAGTGTCATACTCAGGGAATTTTTCCCTCATATTAGTTCCCGATTGTAAATCATGGATTTACAATGTTAGATCTGTGAAGAAATTGAAAAATATAAATATTAAACGATGGGGTTAGTATAGTACCATATTTTTCTCAATGCCTGTTTTAGATTTTTTTCTGGGAATATTGGAAAACCAAGTACCATATTATTTGATGGTCTCACATGAAACTGAGAATTAAGTGTGGGTCACTAGGATGAGACCTGGATGCAATCTTTCAATTTAATTTTAATATCTTTCAGAAAATCTTTGCCTTTAAGGACCATGGTTCAGGAAACTATATGGCTCACTTAAAGTGTGAGAAAACTTTAGTGTTTAAAAGTGACTTTAGCTCTTTAGCTTAAAACAACATTGGAGCTAGGGAGAGAACTCAGTTCCACTTTTGCAGGTGAGGAAGCACTTGGGAGCAAAGCTTAACTCAGGTTATAAGTGCATTGGCATCCACTAACAAAGTGTTAAGGCTCCACATTATCCTCGTCGTTCTACTGGGCATTGCACCAAGTTGGTTAAACAAACACAATGGGAACCACACCAGATTATCTACTTAAGGCCAGAACATGCCCCTTTGACGTATAATTTACATCAATGAAAGTAGTATATCAGTAACATGTGAATATAATTAAGCAGTAGCAATAGTAATAGTACTCACAGTCCTTATTTGGGGTTAAATTGGTTTAAAACACATTCTTTCAAACTGTATTATTCTTAAACTACTTTAGCCTAAGAAAAGCCTTTTAGAAGTATTCTTATTTTCCTTTTTTTTTTTTTTCTTGAGACGGAGTCTCGCTCTGTCTCCAGGCTGAAGTGCAGTGGCGTGATCTTGGCTCACTGCAACCTCTGCCTCCCTGGTTCAAGCATTTCTTCCTGCCTCAGCCTCCTGAGTAGCTGGGATGACAGGCATGCACCACCACGCGCAGTTAAGTTTTGTATTTTCAGTAGAGATAGGGTTTCACCATGTTGGCCAGGATGGTTTCGATCTCCTGACCTCGTGATCCACCTGCCCCGGCCTCCCAGACTGCTGGAATTAAAGGCATAATCTTATTTTCAATGATTTAATTTCAATGAATGTTCTAGGTACTTACTGAGTGCAGACTCTCTTTCTCTCTCTACATATATGTATACATGCTGCATAGAAACTGGTAGCATGTGGAACTTGCTCTCTCACAAAATAAATTGAAAGACAAAATATACACTACGAAAAGCTAAGTAAAGTAGGCGTTTTAGTTTACTACTTAAGATGACAGTCTTTAAGATAAAAATGCAAGACGTGACAAAGATAGATATGCTTAGTTGTCATAGGATTTCAGAGGAGGAAGAGGCAAAGCTTCAAGCTATGGTAGAGACAATTCTGTTGGTGTGGGGTGGTAGGAGTTGAGTTCACTTTAGAAGACTGTGGATTCTCAAAAAGGTGAAGTAGAGAAAAGTCGCCTTTCTAGTTTTAGAACAGCTTGAACAAAAGACATTGCACAGTGTGCTTGGAAGACAGTACAGAAAGGGGTTCAACCACGGTGAAAGTTTTTGAAGGTAATTCAGCCATGATACATTGGATATTGACTGTAGGAGACCTTAAATGACATGCTAAGTGTTTGCAGTTTAGCTTCTGTTTGACTCTGGGCCACTGAAGATTATTCAAATGTCCTGTGCCTAGTTGTGTTCTTTCAATAAACTTACACATTCCATTCTCTCCTTTTGGTATAGAAGTGTAGATCCAGAGAAAGCACACAACTCACTAAGTTAAATGAAGGTAGAACTCCAGGCTAGCAAGAAACAACAATGAAATTTATTTTTCCTAATCTAAAACAGGTTGATAGCATATCCTTTCCAGGAATGAGCTAACTATGGGTACACTGTTCTCCAGCAATCATTGTCTAAACACACCACTCCATTCACTGAGGTCTCTTGTGTGCATAGTGCTGGTTGAGGTGTTTATTTTATCCCACAGTTAACTGCACGTTGCACCTGCTATCAATCACCAATCATAGGTGTGTCTCTTAATTGCCATTTAAAGGTCTTCTGAAAGTGAAATATATATTATTTCTTCCCTTTATTTCACAGATGAAAGTCCTTGTTTAGAGCCAGAAAAGGATGCTATGAACTATTAACATTCTTTTAAGGGTTGCTTCCTAATTTGAAAGAGTCAGTAACTGTTGGTGTTGTTCAAGTTTATAATTTCACCTCAAAATAGAAGAATCAGTGTATCAATGTTTTCATAATGACAAGAACCAGATGGTCTCATTACTTAATGATATTGGAGTTTTCAAAAACAAGGAAGTAGGTTCTACAGATTATAACCTACTGAGTATAAAGTTACTTTAAGCAAAAATTCTAGAATGACTCATTTAACTGTAGTTTGTGGCTGTTTCGAAGATGAACCCTTGATCAATTTTAGCTAATATGCTGGGAACAGCTTATGCCAGACTGATCTCATAGACAGTTTTCCTATATTTAGATCTCCTTTTCTGGAATTCAGTTATTCATTTAGTAATTTTATTTTTTCAACAGGGTCTTTCTCCGTCACCCAGGCTAGAGAGTAGTGGTGTGATCATGGCTCACTGCAGCCTCAATCTTCTGGGCTCAAGCGATCCTCCTATGTTACCTCATGAGTAGCTGGGACTACAGGTGCACACCACCACACCCAGCTAACTTTTTTTTTTTTTTTTTCAGTAGAGATGAGGCCTCGTTATGTTGTCCAGGCTGTTTTCAAGTTCCTGAATTCAAGCGATCCTCCTGCCTTGGCCTCCCAAAGTCCAGGGATTACAGGTGTGATCCACTATGCCTAGCTCATTCAGTAAATACTGCTAAGTCTACCTCTGTACCAGACACAATACTAAGATGAATATATATCATCATGCACAGCCTAGCCCCTACCCCTATGAAGCTTATGCTTTACTATGAGCAATGCACCCAAAGAAAACTGAAAACAAACAGTAAGATCACCCTGCAGAAGTAAACACATGAAGACATTAAAAGGAATTTAAAGTGCCAGTATATTTAATGGAGGAACAAAAAAAGGGATGAGGAAAAGAATGTTGGAGATGTATATGTGTCATTGTTTAAAACACTTTTGACTTTGTGTGTTCTTTTTGGCAATGCTTGATCCAGAAGCCTACTTCCCAGATCTGTTCTTTCATCTGGAACTAAGATTCTTATTAAGAAACTGTGCCATTGAACCACCATTGGAAAACATCTCTTTTTAGGGCGTAACTTGGCACTTGCAGATTCAGGCAGAGCAACAGGATGTGACAACTTAGGACAAGAAAACAATGGTATATATTGTGCTATGATAGACTTTGACATGGTAGGAGCAATTTGAAGGGGCCAAATGTAATTTGCTGAGGCACTTTTTCTCTAAGGAGTCAGCACTAATCTTCCTGAGAATCTAGTGGCATGTTCAAAGCAAGAAATGAGGACTTCAGTATTTTTTATTATTTTTTTTCTTTAGTTTACTTGAAAATGTAGTAATTGGTCAAACTCTTTAGTCTCTTAATTTGTAGAAAAAGAACAGTCACAAGTTAGACCATAGTTGCAGAGTATAAGTTTCAGTGGGATAGTTATTTACCAAGGATATTAATCATCCAATGGTTTTGAAAGCAACTAGGATCTTGAGTGAAGGAGGAAAATTCATGGACGAAAATTCTATGCTAATGGTGGGAATACATAGTGACATGAAAGTACTCAGTTACAGTGACTTGTTTATAGTATCCTATTTTCCAAAGTGCATGTTCCATCCCCTTCTCACTTATTTCAAAACACAGTCCTCTGTTCTGTGCTTGCCACCTCGTCATTTCCTTTGCAGATTGCCTTAGACATTCTATCTCAAGCTCCCTCAATTTTACACCATTATAATCTCTCCTGTTTTTGTTTCCTCATTCTTCATTTCGAGGAAAAAATGTCCCCTATCCTTTCTATTGTGTCTTCCATGTATTATTTAGTGCATCTGCCAGGACCCTGGTAATTTTAACTTCTGTTTTCAATGGTCTTCTTCTAGCCTGCAGGATAGGATGTGAGTGAATACTCCAAATCCTGTAAGCAAACTTTTAAAAGTTACATAGCCTTGTTTCTTATTCCTTCTTTACATTATTAGTCTCCAATATTTCATCTTTCAAAAATTTCTTAGTTTTTTGCAAAAGAAATTTTAGATGGTATCATCTTAGGTTTTTCATACACTTGTCAATCATTCTGTTTCATTTTTTAATTCTTTTTCCTCTTCTAATTTTCCAAATGTAGGTATTTTCCAAAGCTCAGTCCCTGATTATCATCAGCCTATTTTTCCATGTTGGCAATATCAGGCACACTCAACTCTTAATCCTAAATGGATGGCTAGTGATGACATTATTGCCACACTTCGTATCTTATTGGAGATTCTATTCTACACTGGCGATTTTCTGTTGCAAAGCTCTAAATGCACCATGCTCCAAACAAAAATACAACTTCTTCCACATTTCCCTAAACCTCCTCATGTTCCTGACTCCCTCAGCTTCTGTATTCAATCACTTGCTAACTTTTCAAAAGCTTACCTTCATGCCCCTCTTAAATCACCTTTTTTACCTTTTTTGGTCCATTCTTAATTAAATTTCTCCTATTTTACTAATTTTCCAAATGATCTTTCTGTCTTCTTTCCCTCCCAATTTAATTTTCACACCATTGCCAAGTTAGATTTCTAAAATTATGGTTTCACACTAAAATTTTCAATGGACTTTCCCTATACACTTGGTATAACCGAAAATGCTTAGCTTGCCATTGATGTCATCCTTTCTTGCTGCAGTAGGAGAGTATAATATCTCCTGAGTGTTCTTAGGAGAATAACCCATCAAAAATTAGGAAAACAAAATTTGAGTTGACTAGCAGTATTTGCTCTCCTTCTGGTTGTCATATTTTTGCTTTGAAATACTTTATAAAATCATTGGGTATACAATTTCTTATGGAATTGATATGAGTTTAATATAGATCTTCAGTGTTTATCAGCCTAGATTAAGGTTTTTTGTTTTTGTTGTTGCCCTCAACCACAATTCCATTTTATTGCTATACTATGTAAATGCCTTTCCTTTTTACATATAAAAACAAAATATCTTGGCTCTAGTTAGGATGGTTGTCTTTATTTAAAATAAAAACTGAAGCTGATATGATCATTCTCTTTCCAGGAGAATTAACAATGATAAAAGTAATAAATGATACTTGTTTTATAATCAGATAATTTTCCCACTAGTTGGAATGAATTATGGTTTTGGTAGGTGTCCTACTGGCATCTAGAAACTGACTAATCCAAAACTAAAAAATGTTTCTAGAGGCAGCCTTCATTGCACTTTTTAATTCAAAAGCCAAGTGGCATAGAAGTCAACTAGAAAGGCAATCATTACTTCAACAGCTTTTGTATCCTCTTACCCACCAAATTTCCTAACCAGGTGAAACTAGAAATATAACCTGGAAAGGAATCCCTTTCTAAATCAAATTACATGAAGGATTTAATTCACTACACTTTTTGGTAAATGTGTTGTGCTGGAATATTTGCCTCAAGTTGTCAGTTCTTGAAAATGTACTTGTCCTAGACAAGGCTGCCGATGTCACGGTTAGGAGTTCACTTCCTGGGAGAGGTTTAGAATTGAAGCTGAGGTGTATCTGATTCAGCCCTTAGGCAGAAAAACTGGATGAAGCAGTTTTTCCCCCTTCTCTTTTACAAACTGTGTGATTTGTGCAACAGCTTTGGCTTGGCAAATAGGGAAGTGTCAGAGCTAAATCAGCTTTACTCTAAGGGCACGGTGTACCTGTGTTTCTCAACTCACTGGTGTCCAAATCCAGGACCATTTTACTTCAAGTGGAATACACACACAGAACAAACATTCTCAAGGTCAGGTATACGTGTTCTTTGTATTTCATGGGAAGAACCATTTTCCTTGTTCAGAAACAGGCAGAGAAATCATTCATGCTTCAAAACAGTAAACTCCATAAAAAAGTACTTTCAAAGAACCACTTTCTAAAAAGAAGATGTTATGCAATCGGTATTTATGGGATTTTCAAATATGTGAGAGCAAGGGGGTGGTTTTTTCTTCATGAGTGCATGGTTGGCAATCTATTATACTTGCAGGATGGCCAGATATCTAAGACATATGGAAGGGAGCAATTGAAGCAAATAACTATGTAATTCAAGCAATATTCTCTGATTTTCCTTCAATTACTTGCAGTATTTTAAGCAGCAATAGAGGTGGGGCCTGAGTTATTTGGGCTATTTCTTCCTCTTCTGTTTTTTTTTTGTGGAATAAGTAAAACTTAAGTGTCGTGCTTTTCTGTGTGTGTGTGTGTGTGTGTGTGTGTGTGTATGTGTGTATAAATGTATTGCTGTTATTGTTATATTTTGCAGTTGGATACAGCTTTTTTTAGAGTAAATAAGATTCAGCAACTTAAAGAGGACCTGAATTGTCCAGATGCCTGTTTTGGAATGAGGAAGTGTGGATTTGCCTTTTCACTATGTCTTATGCTATTAGAGACAGATGCATAATTACAGTTGGCTGTGTTGTATACCTGCACAGGCTCAGGAAACACCCCTGGGTTCCCCGTAAGTTCTTAGACATGAATGATGCCCTATTGTTTCCTTTCAGATTGTGCCACTTCACATCTCTTACCTTCCCCCCCACAGATTTATGTAAATCATGTGTGGATAATGCATTGAAATGGTTTCCATGGAGCTGAACAAATACAGGTCATATTATAAGGAACTCTTCCTCTCTTGATGTACACAGGTGAATTTGCATATAATTTTAATTATTCAGTTTTATAAGTAGGACTGAAACCATGAACAAAGTTGAACTTTTTGTGAAGCAGACTTCCACTTTCCCTTATAAAATATATCTATATTGATACACTAAAAATTCAAACTACAAAAAACACTGTAATTTAGTAGAGAGAAAAATCAGATGGGACATCTGTTTTTAAAATACATTTTTATTACCTACTAGCTGAATGACTTTATGGTTTACTTCTCTGTGCATCAGCTTTATTATTTTATTTTCTATTTTTTTTTGAGACTGAGTCTCACTCTGTTTTTTTTGAGAATGAGTCTCAGGCTGGAATGTAGTGGCCAGGCCTAGGCTCACTACAACCTCTGCCTTCCGGGTTTAAGAGATTCTCATGCCTCAGCCTCCTGAGTAGCTGGGACTACAGGCTTGTGTCACCATGCCTGGTTAGTTTTGTATTAGATGGGGGTTTCTCCATGTTGGCCAGGCTGATCTCGAACTCCTGGTCTCAGGTGATCCACCTACCTTGGCTTCTCGAAGTGCTGGGATAATAGGCGTGAGCCACTGCACCTGGCCCATCAGCTTTAAAATTGTAAATTTACTTGTCTTTTTAAGTCTCCTGTATATCCAAGGAACTCCTCTTAATTTATTTGTGCATTAATTAATTAATTCAATAAATAAGCTTTGGATCCATATAGACATGAAATTGAATTCTGGTTCTATTTCATACAGGCTTTCAGTTGGAAAAGTTAGTGAACTTCACTAAATATGTTTCTTTATGTGAAATGGAATGATTATACTACCTTACAGACTTGTTGTAATGAAGAAGGACATGTGTGACAAGGTCTGCCATATGATAGGTGCTATAGCAACTGTTTTAGGTAGTTTGGGATATGGTAACAAAATGCCATATGCTGACTGACTTATAAACAACAGAAATTTATTTCTCATAGTTTCAGAGGCTGGGAAGTCCCAAATCAAAGCACTGGCAGATTCTGTGTCCTGGTGATGACCTGTTTTCTGTTTCAAAGAGTACTGCCTTTTCACTGTAGAAGAGGAGACAGTAGTCTGAGACATCTTTTATTAGGGCACTAATTCCATTTATAAGGTTTCTGCCCTTCTGAGCTAATCACCTTCCCAAAGGTCCCACCTCTTAATATTATTACCTTGTGAGTTAGGATTTCAACATATGAATGTCTTGGAGACACACATTCAGACCATAGCAGTGGCCACGAGAAATCAACCTGCAGACCTCCAGCTACAGGGAGCATGAGTGACCAAGAACACTGGCTTCTGATATCTAAAATTTACCAGTGCATAGGCAATGAGGCTGCGCGTAGGCTGCTCCCAGCCAATGAATGACTAGGTGCAAGAGGGATACTAGGGCAGATTCATTCCTAGAACACAGCCTCTCAGTGTGGTCACTTTGGCTCAAAAACATCTTGACAGCCTTATTGAACTTCCTTATGCTTCACGGCAGTCTAGGACACTTTCACCCTACCTTCCTTCTCTTTTACTTGTAGACTAGAGACTTACATTGTGATCATAAGGCTCCCTCTTCATGTTCTGTCACAAGCAATTCTCCCAATAAAATACTTACATCTTTGTGTCAGCCTCTTGGAGAACCCACATTAATGCAGATGTTCCTTGATGATAGTTGTTTTAAAAGTATGTTTATTTTTGATTCTGTGCAAAGCACTCTCTTGATTCAGTGCATGACGCAAAGTTGAATTAAACATATTTTATTATTTCAAAGAAGTGAGAGCATCCTACTGATGAGTGGTGTCATAAGGCTAAAAGAGATAATATTGAAAACTTTTACCCCTTGGAAGGGACATGCTATAAAAATTAATGATGGACAAAATAAAATTAAAGGGCATCTTTTAAAACGGTGTCATTTAGAAATGTGGCACCAGTGCATTTCTATTCTGTAATGTAACTTTGCTCTAGCATAATTCCTCAGGCAGATGTTTGACAAGAAATTATGCAAAGAAAGGTTTACAACATGGGCTTAATGTAGTCTAAAATATGCTATGTATTTTGGTAATCATAGTACTATCAGAACTAAGAGCAGGTTGCTAATGGAAAGAAGCTTTAATTAAACAGATTTCTCTCATTTATCATAACCTTGGTCCTTTATAGGGTCCTTATTTTTCCTTTTGTCAAAGTAAGTTTGAACCAGATCAGCAACAGGGTTCAATACTCTCTAAACTTCTGAGTCCAGTGGTTCCACGCCCTTTATTGATAAAGTGATGAATGGAATACTGAGACACCTTATTTTATTAAAACTTTTGTAACTGAACTGACCATCCCCGTTGCTAAACTTAGGGATGGGATTTCTGAAAGGAAATTTATCTTTCCTCTTCCTCTTCTGACTGATCCTCAACAAGTAAATATATTTATATATGTGTATATGTATGCATGAGTATGAGTGTGTGTGTCTGTTTTGGAAGTAGGGGAAAATTTGTTTTTAGTTTGCTAGAAAAGACTCATCGAATATTGCTTTTAAATATTGGTTATATTTTACTTTTAAATAGTTATTTTATTTTATTTTTAAAAGCCTTGTAGAACACTATAACTATATGCTATTAATTTTGACCTATGATAGCAACATAAGAGAAAGGAATTTGTTATCATCAAAGTTTTATAGATTAGGATCTTAGGAAACCCAAATTTAAATGAATATTTCAGCCTCAGGAATAGATCTGACACATGCTGCTTTTCAATTTTCATTTGTCTCTACAGATATTTCCTGTAATTAAGAAAAATTGTATTAACAGGTTCAAATATTTTGTTTCTTTTCCCTTTCATTACAATTCTGTTAGATACTAGAAAAATACATTCATTAATTGCTTGACTGTGTAATATGCATACTAAAAGAGTGGGTTAATGAGAACTATCATACACGAAGTGAAATAGTTCAGTTATTTAAATAAGAGCAATGATTTTTAAACTTCTTTTTATGCATCAAGTTCAGAAATAAACTGTCAAGTAAATTCATGTTTGAGGCAGAAAGTTTCAATTTATATAACTTGCCCGGCTTTTTCTGCAACTCCAAGGTAATATTCTGCATAAAATCTGAGTTCGTTCTTGGTGCTTTTGTTGTGATGACAGTCTTTAGGACTGTGTAATCTGGAACTTGATCCTACTTAGCGTGTGCCTCCCTACCAAACTCCACCAAACTCAAGGTCCTGGGCTATCTGCCTGCTTCTGTCCTCACTATTCTTGCAGATTCTCGTTGAGCTCTTTCACAGGGTCAAATCCACACTTATTTCACACTAAATACTAAATTTTCGTACCTCTGAACTCCTGCTTTTTGTTTTTTTTTCTATTAAAAGACAGGATCCTGCTCTGTCATTCAGGCTGGAGTGCAGTGCTGTGATCATAGTCATCTTCAACTCCTGGGCTTAACTAATCCTCCTACCTCAACCTCCCAGGTAGCTGGGGCTGTAGGTGCACACCACCATACCTGGCTAATTTTTTTTTTTTTTTTTGTAGAGATGATGTCTTGCTGTGTTGTCCAGGCTGGTCTCAAACTCCTGGTTTCAAGTATTCATCCTGCCTCAGTCTCCCAAAATGATGGAATTACAGGCATGATCTATCACACCTGGTCACCTCCTCCTACTTCTGCAGGCCATGCTGCTAAATAAATATCTCCACAGAACAGATGTTTTGGTTCTGGGGACTCTCTCTCAAAAAATCATTTCTGCAAAGCTTAATTCTACTTAAATACTTCTATAATGTTTTTTTTTTTTCCTAAGGAATGTATAAAGCCAGATATACATTGAGGGTGCTGCCAGCCTAATTCTGGTATGAAATTATGCCCCTTATTCCTTAAGCCTATAGTGTTTCAGAACTTTTGTACATTCTTGGCTAGGCTCAATGGCTCATGCCTGTAATCCCAGGACTTTGGGAAGCCGAGGTGGATGAATCACTTGAGGCCAAAGTTCAAGATAAACCTGGCCAACATGGTGAAACCCATTTCTACTAAACATACAAAAATTGGCCAGGCGTGGTGGTGCATGCCTTGTAATCCTAGCTACTTGGGAGGCTGAGGTGGGAGAATCACTTGAACCTGGGAGGCAGAGCTTGCAGTAAGCTGAGATCATGCCACTGCACTCTAGCCTGGGTGACAGAGCAAGGCCCTGTCTCAAAAAAATCAAAATAAAAATAAAACAAAAAAAAATAAAAAAAAAGAAAAGAAAAATAACTTTTATACATTATTTTCCTAAAGCTTTTCTATCCCCATTAAAATTTGCAATTTCCCTCTGCTTCATACCAGCAAACCTCAGATTTTTCTTCCATCAATAGGTAGGCATAAAGGTCATAAGTACAGGGCATTCCCAACTTAAGATGGTTTGACTTATAATTTTTTAACTTCATGGGAGCACAAAAGTAATGCACATTCAGTAGAGACCACACCTCTGTACTTTCAGTACCCATACAACCATTCTGTTTTTTATGTCTAGTATTCAGAAAATTATGAGATATTCAACATTGTATTATATTGATAATATAAAATAGGCTTTGGGTTTGATGACTTTGCCCAACCACAGGAAAATGTAAGCGTTCTGAGCATATTTAAAACAGTCTAAAATAAGCAATGACAGCCAGTAGGTTAGATATATCAAATGCATTTTACTTTCATGGTATTTTAAACCTATGGATGGTTTATTGGATGTCATCCTTTTGTAAGTTGAGGATCATCTGTATAGCCTTTTACATATTTTTCCACAAATATTTCTTAAACTTGTGTCAGCTGCTATTGCTTGAAATTTTGTGAGACAAGGTCAATTTCCACACAAAATTGTACTAGTCATTTTAAGTTGTTAAACAGTGCCTGGTATTCCATATAGAACCACACTTCAGGGGCTCTACTACCTGAAGGGTGAGGATCACTTAATTGGAGAAATAAAAACTGTCTGGCAATTTGCAGACACAAACTTAACACCTTTCTCTGGACATTCACAGGTCAGCTTTTGTGATATTCTAGGGACAGAAGCTTCTACGGCCAATCATTTTAGGCAGTATTGCATATTTGAACTTTGTTCTTTTGAACTTTTCTTTGTCCTTCAGATAGACCTGCCTTCAAACTTTGATTAGAAAAGTTGTACTTAGTGAGTTCTTCACAATTTGGGGAAAGAAATTTTTATGGGTTCTTTTAATAATGTATTCCAGCAACTTAGAGAACTTACTGACCAAAAATCCTAACATCTAATTGAAGTAGCCACTGTTTTGGAAACTTATTGTTGACTCCAATTTGCCATTGATTAAATGCTGTTATTTAGATTCTTAGTTTCTTGAAAGAAGCAGCAGCATCTTTGTGTGACTGTGTGACACGCTGACACACATTAAATATATAAGTAATATCACTACTTCTATCAAATATATTGATGTGAACCAAATGAAAAGTTGAATGCCCTTGTTACAAATGTAGCTACTTAGGAAATAGGAAAATCCAGCATCTTTTTTATAAAGGCTACGTATCTTAGTATGACAATTCTTACTCCTGGCTCTATAATAGAATCACTTAGAGTGCTCTAAAATAATAGCGATGCCCTGGTCCCACCTAGACTAATTAAATCAGAATAACTGAGGGGTGGGAGGATATGGGACTTTGTATTAGTATTAAAACTCTCCAGAAATTCTTATGTTGCAGCCATAACTGAGAACCACTACTTGGTGAAATATCAGCTTTCGAATGGTTTTCTTACGAGTAAAAGTTGGTGCTAAATAGTTCCCTGCTAGTAGATCATCTCTCAAGGAATTTTTATGAGCTCCTGGGACATTAATTCCACAAAGCACACCTTGGGATATGAAATGACTTCTGTGTATACTGCCCAAGAGCTGACTTGACTAGTTGGTTAAGCCAGTTCAGCAAACAGAAGTCTGCTTATCTCAAGAGAAGTGTTCTCTGAGCTTCAGGTTCCCAAGAATACAGTGACATCAGTTTGGACTTCAACATGCTTGAGGGTTAGAACAAAGAGACAAGAGCA